GTGTGGGAGCAGATGGCCATGGCAGGAGTAAGGGTTAGGGGAGCACAGCAGTGTCCCTGTTAGTGGCACTGGAGAACACATTTTGAGCTGGAGCACAGGAATAAGGTAAGGGAGAGAAAGGAAAGGGCAATGAATTTGATTGGCAGCCTACCAACCTAAGCACTTGAAACACGTGATCTTATTTAACCCCCCAAAACAACCGTGCAAGGTAAGTATTAGCCTCATTATACAGGAGAGAAAAGGGGTTCAAGAGGCTATCTTGTGTTGCCATCATCATACAGATGAGATGTGGAAGAGTGAGAACTTGAACTCAGGACAGGCTGGCTTCAAAAATATAATGTTGATATCCCAAGAAACTAGAAACACCAATTAGAAAGGATATATGCACCCCTACGTTCATAGCAGCACAATTCACCATAACTAAGATTTAGAAACAGCCTAAGTGCCCATCAGCAGATGAGTGGATTAAAAAACTGTGGTACATCTACACAATAGAATACTACACTGCAGTAAAAAAGGAGTTCTTACCATTTGCAATAGCATGGATGCAACTAGAGAGCATTATGCTAAGTGAAATAAGTCAGTCAGAGAAAGAAATATCACATGATCTCACTCATTTATGGAATATAATGAACAACATAAACTGACAAACTAAAACAGATCCAGAGAAACATCAATCAGACCATCAAACCTCAGAGGGAAGGTAGGGGAGTGTAGGGGAAAGGGGGAGAGATCAACCAAAGGACCTTGTATATATGTATATAAGCCTTGTATGCATGTATATAAGCCTAACCAATGGACACAGACAACTGGAGGGTAAGTGCATGAGTGAGGGGGATGGGGGAATAAGGACACATATGTAACACCTTAATCAATAGAGAAATTTTTAAAAATGCAATGTTGCTCCATTCACGCTGTTGTTTGTCGTAATTGTCCTATGTAATAAAAGGCTAATATGCAAATTGACCAAATGGTTGAATGACTGCTTGCTATGATCCACACTGACCATCAGGGGGCAGACACTCAACACAGGAGCTGCCCCTGGTGGTCAATGTGCTCCCCCTGTGAGAGCTCAGCCAGAAGCTGGGCTCACTGCTGGCAAGCTCAGCAGTGGTGGTGGGAGCCTCTCCCACCTCAGCAGCAGCACTAATGATGTCCTGTCCGACTGCTGCCTTAGGCCCGCTCACCCTGGGCTCCCTGATTGTGAGAGAGTGCAGATCGGGCTGAGGGCCTCCCACCCCATTGCACAAATGTTGTGCACCGGATCTCTAGTGTTCATTAAATGCCAAATATTTGAGAACACAGCTCCCAATACATATTTCTCCTCATGTCACTTACGTTTCCCCTTTCATTTATAATGTGCTAAAAATTAGAGACTTTTTTTCTCCCAGAATCTAAATTCACTTCCAGGGGCTAGATAGGGGTGTCGAACTCAATCAGAGAAGGGGCCAAAATCTAAAATCCAGCCTAAATCGCGGGCCGAATGGTTTACTGAACAGTCATAAACTGTCATTGTGATGGAAACGCAGCAGAGTGCAGTGATGACAGCGCGGTGCGGGCCACATTGCAAGGCCTGGCGGGACGGATTTGGCCTGCGGGCCTTGTGTTTGCACATGTGGTAGGAGATTGGGCATAATGTCAAGCGTATCTGAGAATGGTATTTGGAGGCAGCCAAGAGGAAAGCAGGATGCTGGGGCGAATAGGCCAGACCTCGCTTCTGAGGGGTCCCCAGAAGATGGAGGTGCACCAAACCAGAGACCGACACATGGAGGATGGGGCTGAGGCACGTCTTGTGAGAGCAGGCTGCACACAGAAAACCTGACGCTCCCAATGAGCTCTCCTCAGCCTCCCACAGGCACGCAGCCGGCAGGGGACAGATGGCTCTAAGAGGGGACCAGTTTCAGTCCAAGGAAACTGGGTGACGAATGTGTAAACATAGATTTCTTTTGGAATAAATATTCATTGTGAGTCTCTTGATTTTCAAAATGTATACTTCATGAACTATAAAGACATTTTTTTAAATGTCTCCAATTTTCCTCCTAATGTGCACCCTTCTAATAAAATTATTTCATCTAGTTATATAATATATATATATTGTCAGATAAGGAGTAGTCGGGCATGTAACCTTTCCAGTTTTGATAACTGTCAATACTGGAAGTTTCGAGCAATGTAATTTTTTAAAATTAAGGACTGAGGTTTATTTGGCATTCGAGAGCACCACCTGCTGGATTAATGAACAACAACAAGTCTGGAACAAAAGTGAATCTTCACATGGGTTTTTAAAGAACTGGTCATGGAACTCTATGAGGCTCATCCCTTCTCTTTTCTTTCCCGCCCAGTCGCTCCTTTCCTGCCTTTATTTACACCCTGAGGCTGTCCATGCCGCCACCGCCTAGCAGTACTGCTGAGCCCTCGGAGTGGCTACGGAGCAGGCTTCTCGTGCCTCATTTAATAAAATCTAGGATGTTTCTATGGTAAATATCGAGTAGAAAGGCAAATACTACTTTTGAAACTGCAAAGTTCAATTTTCTTCGAGGGACTGTTTCTTTTTGCCCGGGGATGGGTTTGTGGGGTTCTGTTTGTTTATTTTACACATTAACTACCATTCTAATAGATCGCTTTCACATTTCATTTGTAAATAATGCCTAGAGTCGACTGATTTACAGTATTTGAGCTTGTTGTTGTGATATGGCTTCCTAATGGCTTTTGAGAAAAAGAAGGTTGGTTTAGAGATACTTTTTTAAAAAGCCTCTGACCTCAAAGGACCCACAAGTGTTATGAGTGAGAGGAATGGCACAGATAAAAGACATTAGGGAGTGGTAGAGACTGGGGACTTAGAGATCTGTCTCAAAGGGTATACCTTATCCTGACCCAGCCAGCTCTTCAGTTTTTTGTTTTTTTATTTAAAGAAGCCAAAAAAGCCTGATTTTCATGAGACATCATTAAGTGTTTAAATGTTAGCAACAACAAAAACAACAAAAAAGACCTGCAGGCCAGAAGTGGCCTGTAGGCCAACCTCTGATTCAAAGTTGTAGATACTAAGAACTTACCAGATGTATTTTTTGGACTTCGCTCACTGGATGATAAAATATGAACAAGTGAGCGGTTTATGGCTAAAAATCCACTCCAGTCTCTGATCAAATCACTTTACCATGCCTAAGGACCTCGACCACTCAGTCAGTAAGTCTATGCTATATGCCCCCTGTTCCTTGACAGTCATGTGACAGGATCATGGATTGTTGAGATATCCTGGCAATGGCCTTTTATTCCTCTGGCTGCCCATGTGCCTTAAAGTAACCCAACACTCATCTTTTGACTACAATAAGCAACAGTTTAGCAGAACTGGGAAAGGCAGCTGTGGGGTTTATGGGCTTGAAACTTGCATTGCATTTCCAAACAGACACATGAATATGTAACTATAAAAATATATTTATGGCCCTGACCCATTTGGCCCAGTGGATACAGTGTCAGCCTGTGGACTGAAGGGTCCCAGGTTCAATTCTGATCAGGGGCATGTACCTTGGTTGCAGGCACATCCCCAGTAAGAGGTGTGCAGGAGGCAGCTGATCGATGTTTCTCTCTCATTGATGTTTCTAACTCTATCCCTCTCCTTTCCTCTCTGTAAAAAATCAATAAACTAAGTCACATGATATGAAAATTAAAAATAAATAAAATATATATATATATATATATATATATGTGTGTGTGTGTGTGTGTGTGTGTGTGTGTGTGTGTGTTAAAAACAAAACAAAACAAAAGAACACTTTAATTCAATTTTTGGCCATCATACGCTATAGTAAAGTCTCCTCATTCATACACCCTATTGGGACAACAGAGGCAATCTACCTCTGACTTAAGAAAGATGTTGACAGCATTTACACATTTTAAAGAGAAATTCATTAGCTTTCTTACTCAGAGTGCTCCAGGAAACAGTACAGGTTTTATGTTTTGGCCTGGGGAAAATTCATGGAGAGCATAACAATACTATGTAGATAACAAATTTCATGACAAAAAAAGATTTGAAGGATATTATTCTCTGCTTTGCTGAGCCCTCAGAGTGGCTACAGAGCAGGCTTCTCGTGCCTCATAAAATACTATAGATTAGATCATTTAAACAACAGAAATTTATTTCCTCACAGTTCTGGAGACAAGAAGTCCAAGGTCAAGGTGCTGGCTGATTTGGTTCCTGGTGATGGCTCTCCTCCAGGCTTGCAGATGGCCACCTTCTCCCTATGTCCCCACCTGGCCTCTCCTCAGTGCATGAGTGTGGACGCAGAGAGACTGCACTAGTGACCTCTCTGGCATCTTTTCTTGGAAGGACACTAACCTTATCAGATCAGGGCCCCATCCTTATGGCCTCATTCAACTTTACTTCCTAAAGGACCCCGTTTCCAAATTCAGTCACACTGCGGGGGAAGGCGCAGAGAGGACTTCAAGATATACATTTGCAACAGGACAGCAACGTTCAGCTGATAACAAAAGAGCTCCACTGTATTTCGTTATCATCTGTAGAATGCCTCTTGAAATTAAAATAATTAAAGCATCTCCTTTTTTAAAAATCGAGTATGAATGTTGGATTTTTTATCTTAGCCAAATTACTTTAAGCCCCCTTTCCCTGAACTACAGTCCTTTTCTGGTCTAATAGGCACACCTGGTGTTTATTTTTATATATTTGCTAGTCTTTCATAATGTTTCAACTTAGTCTCTGAAATGATTCTTCCTTCATTGTTAATGAATTTCCAGGTTCTAGCTTTCCATGGAACTTCAAGTCATTACTTATAATGTCAGCACTAGGTATAGCTTTTTCTCAGAACTTGCTTTAGAATTCTGGGATGTCATCAATTTATAATCGTTCTTGTACTCTCTGTGCAAGAATACACACCCTACTGGCTTTCCCCACCATAGACTTTTCTAGATTATCTTGAATTGTAAATAAGCAATATCAAACATCAGTTACTTTCCTCTAAAATTGCAAAAATTACATACAGGAAAATGCATACCCGAGGAAGCTGCATGTTTCTTGATATCGTTCTTGTACTCTCTGTGCAAGAATACAGTAGAAATCCTAAAAACAAAGTAAAAAATAATGACTTTCCACACACACACACACATATATAAAAATACATTCATATATGAAAAAACTATCCACCCACATATATATGAAGCAACCTTGGAAAATCATTTACTCTATTTTCCCCCTGTCAAGTCACATGATATTGTATTTTAAATCCTATACACCTCTGATTTACAAAATCGAATTTGTTCAATAAACAGTTATTTAGTAAATGAAATAAATTTCAACAGTAGTAATATTTTTAAAGCATTTCCATTTTCACTTAAAAACAAATTAACTGTGTGGTTGTTTTAAAAATCCTTAATTAAAAAAATTTTTTTCTTAATTTTTAAATTGTTTCATTTTATTATATAAACTATGGTGATATTATTAACTGTCCTTCAAATAAACTATTCTATTTCATAGATGATAATTTTTAATAATTTGAATAATAATATATGAAAAGATAATGAAGTACAAATGTATAAAGTCATTTTTTAAAAAGGCAATGCAGATAGACCTCGGGTTATGTTGGACTCGATGTACCTTGTTTTGTGGTTACATTGCCATCTCCCATTTATTTATTTTTTTAAATGTTCCATCATTTTGACGTATATACATATGTGCTTTATGTTTTTTTATTATTTATTTACCACAAGTAAAGGCCAGGAATTGTTATCTTTCTTTTATTTTTATTTTTTAATTTTTATTTCTGACCATTTCACTTCATTGCTGCTGTGTGTGTGCTCCACGTGAGTGGCACAGGTGCTCATGTAGGTGGGTTCCGACTGACAGCGAAAATCGCGGTACATTGCAGGAACGGATCTCTGATGTAACCTGAGGACCTACTGTAGTTGGTTTGACCATGTCCCCTAACATTAATATAAAACCAATGTGTGCACTGAAGGTAAAGAAAAGGTAAAAATAAACACTGGGATGTGTCTATGCCAGTTAAAATCCAAAATACTGCTAAAAACAAAACACAAGATATGGAGAAAAAGAAAAGATACACCAATGAGTAAAAAGGCAACTTTCTGTTTAATCTGAAACCAAGGATTTTTTCCCCTAAGTGTTTCAATCTTGGTTATTAATAGTGGCATTGTGTTTTATGATACAACTGAGCGCTAATTTCCAGAAATATCCGAAGACTTCCAGAGTTTAAGTTTATGTCAGTCAGGCTAGGCTAGGCTATTCTGCACTATCAAACAACCTGAAAACTTTCAGTTTAAAACACTATTTTATTTCTTACTCATGTGAATATCCATCGTATGTCAGCCATGGACTTTGCCTGCTCACAGAAGTTGCCAGATACCTAAGCTGACAGAGGCTCATCCTGACAAAAACAGAGGCAGGGAAGGCAGAAGATAGAGAACCCTGTGCTGGCTCTTCAAGGGTCTCCCCAGAAGTGCACCCAAGTCTACTCACATGCTATTGGCCAAAGTAGGTCACATGACCTAGCCTGGCATCAGTAGGGTGGGAATGAATCATTCTTGCCCTGGAAGAGACAGTCTTCCAATGGTCTTAACCGTATCCTACAGCTAGGATTACAAAAACAGACTCATCTGCTTCATCTCATTTGATTCTATTAACAACTCTCAGGTCAAGACAGGGGGGGGTGCTGTGGGACATTTCTGTAAAACTAACTCATCAGTGTTAACTGGTTCTGCTATTTCTGTTCTTCCACATTAGCTGTCAGACTGGCAGCAAAGGGTGGGACAAGCCATGCCAAGGCCCCTACCAAGCTGCTCTCAAGCCCACCTGCTTCATCCACCCTAGTTCCTGCCTTCAGAGAGTTCCCACTTCCTTGTACTCCCCTCCAGTCCCAGGAAAGGAGCAGGTGGGCCAGAGAGGAGATGACTGGCTGAGCGACATAAGCCTGGTTATCCGATCCAAGGGCATGGAGCTATTTGGGCAAGAGTGCAGCGGCGTCCATGGACAGTGATAGGAATGTGACATAGGAGAGGCAGGTGCCTGCGCCAGGTGAACCCTGGATGGATAAATGCTAAAAATAGCATGAGCTTCCTAGTTGATAGAATCAGCCAGGGCTTTCGGGAGGTTAGGCTCTTCGATCTCCAACAGGGGCCCAGGAAGGCTTCACAGATTGCTCCTGATCCAGATGTCAGTGATGCTCACTGCTTCTGCCACAGTCGTAGGTAAATTATGAGGGTCAAAGGAGTTCAGGTATAAAGCCTTTATTATAGGGTCTGACTTGCCGAAAGCCCTCGGTGATGTACTGACTGTTTGTTAATGTGCTACACACTGTGCAGGAGCCCACACTCCCTGGGCCTGCTGGGAAGTCACCGCCAGGAAAGTGGTTCTCACACACTCTCCCTAAGCCAGCAGGGTAAGGAAGCTGCATGGCTTCTCCCTGTCATCCCAGCGTCTCCTTTCCTCCTCCTCTCAGACGTAAAGGTGCAAGGCCCTGAGTTCCTCCACTGGTCCCTTTCATACATGAACCTGGGGCTGGAGTGCCTCCTGGGCCAACCCTCCCCAGATGTGCACGTTACACCTGACCTTCCACCTTCACAAACCCTGTTCCTCCGGAGGCTCAGAATGCATGAGGCACATGAGCCCTCAAGCACTGAACACAGATATGTTTACAAGATGAATAGCCGAAACCAGTTTGGCTCAGTGGATAGAGCATCAGCCTGTGGACTGAAAGGTCCAGGGTTGGATTCCACACAAGGGAATGTACCTTGGTTGTGGGCACATCCCCAGTAGGGGGTGTGCAAGAGGCAGCTGATCGATGATTCTCTCTCATCGATATTTCCAACTCTCTATCCCTCTCTCTTCCTCTCTGTAAAAAAAAAAAAATCAATAAAATACAATGTGAATAAAGAAAAACAAATTAACTTATAAATGCTCAGAATGTAACATCTACTACATCAAGAAGATCACAAAATCCAAATTAATCTCAACTCCCAATTCTAAAGTTCCATTAAACTTGTTATCCTCATAGTGTTCTACCCACTGCTCATTATTCCTTTTGGGCAGATGGACAGCAAATTAATTTGTCTGTCATCTTTTGGCAGGTTTCGCAGTATCAGAGGAAAATAAAAAGTGTTTTATTGATTCCACAGTGAATCTGAAAGGCTTTCAGATATATTCTAAAGTCAATGAATGCCCTGACAATCATCAAAAATAAAGGGCTAAAAAAAAATATGAAGAAAGAAAAGGATTGGGTGTCATGTTACTGGAATACTCTGGAAAGCAAACTTTAGTGCTAAAGCTACCAATAAATTTATAGCAGAGTGTAATGTAGTGTAAATAGTCCTAGAGTGGGGAGGAATTGGTTGTGTTCAAGGAACAGAGAAAAGGCCCCATACAGCTAGAGCATCGTGGGTAAGCTGTGAAATGTCAGAGAGCAGAGTGGTAAATTATCAGCCTCAATCTCTCTCTCCCTCCCTGCCGCCCCCCCCCCCTCCTTCACACACACACACATACATCCATGGCCTTTGACATATCACTTTGCAATTCCTCTCACAGAAGAAGAAATATATTTCCTTACTCCTGGACTCTGGCTTTGTTGTGAACTTTTATTTGGTCAATGAGATGTCAGCAGATATGACGTAACAACCGTGTTCAGATGCTCAGGTATGCCCTCTGGCGCTCACCCATTGCCTGTTGGTAACTGGTCCTAGGAGGAGAATGGAGCAGAAGGGCCCAAGGTCACTCGCAGTGTGAAGCAGAGCTGCCAGTCGGCAAAACCTAGATCAGGCAGCTGCAGCCAACCTGCAGGCCTGGGAGTAAGCCAGCCGACCAGCAGATCCAGGAGAAAAGGAGTTGTTTTAAGCTGGAAGTTTTAGGGTGGCTTATTCCTCAGTATCACTGTGGCAATATCTACCCAATACTGATCTTTGTGTGCCATAAAAAGAGTGTGTAATTGGAAAAAATAAAATATATTACACAACATACAGAATGATTGTATGTATGTGTGTGTGTGTGGAGAGAGACAGACATAGAGAGGAAAAGCACATATATGATAGATACTTTTTTAGGGGTTACTTCTTGAGCGTAGAAATAGTGAATGTTCCATTTTTAAGTTTCTGCAGTTTTACATCTTTTTTCCAGTGTTCCAGTGAGCAGAGTGGAACAAGGGATAAATAAGTAAGGTTCTATTTATCACAGCCAGCAGAGAACCTCAAAGGTCATTCAAAAGGTATTGAAGTTCCTTAGATGAATCCTGTTTGCCATTTAAGCTTGTCTGAAACCTCACTATTGTACTGACTAGTGTACTTACATATCCTGTTTTTCAAGTAAAACTGAGTCTGTAGCAGGGTATCCTGTGTCCTAACTAGACTGTGGTTTGCAGAATTGGTGACCTAGTGATCCTTACAGGATTCAATCTCCTTGAGAACTGATCATCACAGAGGATCATGTTTATGACTGAGGAAGAAGCTGCTCTTTTCTGACAAGGGTGCCAAGAGGGAAGGCAAGGAGCTGAACGAGATGGGATAGAATCTGTCCCCTGCACAGTCCGAGGCTCTGGTTTTGAATCAGGATGGAGAGAAGGTTTAACCATAACACCGAAGGGCAGGAGAAGACAGCCCTATCCCACAGTAGACGCACAGCGTAGAAATGGCTCTGTGCCCAGAGACATCCCACCCGAGCAGAAGAAAAAGCCTGGTGAGGAGGCAAGAACAAAAGAGTTTGAGAGGATAAGTTTCTGAGCACAAGAACACACCGCCTTGGGAAATGCCTGACATGGGAGGACCATTCCCAGGAGGGGCCGAGATTTACCGCGATTTGGGCAATCGTGTCATTAGAACTGAGAGCGGGGATGTGGGGCTCACAGGTACCCGATCACACAAGGCGCCAGGAGTTAGTCAGCCTGTCTTAGAGCCACGGTCCACCTCTCCTTCCCTGCTAAGGGATCTGTTATATATAATATTCCATGTCGATTATATTCCCATGTTTGTCGCCCCTTAGAAAAACACGATCCACAGGAACTTCTTTAACCATTGCTAAAGACTGCCAAAATTCTAGGTTTCCCTTTTCAAATTCAAGTTAAT